CACACACACACACACACACACACACACACACACACACACACACACACACACACGTTTGTTTCTGTGAATTGTGCGGACTTTCCATAGACTTCTATTACTTTTATGCTGACCAAACGATATTTTCTATCCCCTAAACCAACCCTAATCCTAAACCCTCTAGATCTTTTGTTTCAAATGCAGTCTTGATTGTAAACGATTATTTGAAACATAAAGATAAAGGTGTCCTATGAATTTTAACATTATTTTAATATATGACAAATGGTGCACTGTTAATGCTCGGGTTTTGTTGCTGTGGTCGTATTTGTTGTGATGGTTTTTTTCTTTTTTTCATTCTAGCAGTTTTGTCACGATGTCTTATAATGTTTGTCTGTTTGTGAGGTTGATGCTGTATAAATTGCCCTGTGAAGGGACAAATAAAGATTACTACTACTACTAACTACCCCTTACAGAAAACCTGTTTGCATTGTTACACTTTCAGATCAGCATCATTTACTATATTTAATCATTTTTTTCCCCTCGTGGGGATCACAGGCCAGTCCCCACAATGTCAAACATTTCAGGTTACACTATCCTTGTGGAGACATTTGGTCCACTCGATGTAGCATAAACAAATACACACACACACACACACACACACACACACACACACACACACACACACACAGATCATATAACAGCACAGGACGGCTCCTGTAAATGTCTGCAGACAGATTCATGTCTTACTTCAGTCTCAGCGCTGGCCATCAGTTCTTTATATATTCTTTGTCTCTCCTCCGGCTCATATCGGCTCTTTATGTTTATTCATTTTAAACACTCATATCTCTCTGATCACAAAAGAAGAGAAAGAGAAACTGCTTCACTTCAGTGCAGCAGCTTCCTACTCAAACACACACACACGTGATATAAAATGGGGAATTTCCATTGACTTCTATTGTTTTTCTACCAAAAACACTACACATTATGTAAAAAAAATATTAAATATGGTTAATTAAAGGTTAAATGGGACATTTTTCTCAATCATCTGTCATTTGGGTTACAGGACAGTAAGGATTTTTCTGGTTTCCTACATTGTCAATTTAGCTAAACCTGCATACATACCAACACACACTTTCAGTTTCATTCTGATGTGCATTCTTACCATTACTAATATTTGTACATATGATGCACAATAATAATTCTTAAGTTACTCACAGAGAAGCGTTGTTTTGGTTGTCGTCGTCTCTGAAAAGCCAGTTATGATGTTAATACAGTCTATATTACTGGCTCTGTTATTTTCACTGTGTGCTTTTAAGCTCTTGTCTGAACAAGGTTGATTTAGATCCATTTTGTGTTAATTTAATTCATTGCAATACTTATGCGTGTATAACTAAAAAGTATATTGATATTTAATAGTTTCTAATTTATCTAAACAAGCACTACACTTTAACAAAAGAACACACATTTTACAGAACCCTCATTTTTAATGGTATTTAACTATTTGTAATAGATTACACTGTCATTAAAACATTTGCTACTGGTTTGAAAATGGTGTATATTACATATATTTGGCCTGAGTTCTCGTTTCATTTTTCATGTTTTGACCAGCAGGTGTCGCCAGATTGTAGTGTTTCGAGCACTTCGAAACAGTGAATCATTTTGATTAAAAAAAATATGTATTAATTAAGTTTTAAAAGTTTTCTTCAGACTATTTATTTTTATTTATGTATTTATTTTCAAGGACGTGGCAGACATTTCTCGGGAATTCCGACCCGCCGCTCAAATTTTAAATCATTATTATAAGTTTACAGTTGTGAAAACTGCCAAGAAAATAATGTTTTCAGGGTTGATTTTTTTAAGCAGAAGTTTGTTTTCACAAATGCGATGCAAAGCACACAAACACTCTTAATTGTATACTGAAAAAAGTGCTTAGTTGTCAGGCCTACAAATCACTTCACGAATAATACAGGCTATTTTCAATTCAAAACGACACACTTTGACAAAAGTGGAATAGTGTGTATCACTGGATATAGCTGCATAATCATTTAACATGTCAGTCGTAAACAGTAGTCAGATATTAAAAGTTTAGCTACCTAGAGTTTACCTCAGGCTCTCTGACCGTTAGAACGGATCTGGTTTGATTTGATTCTCGATCATTAATCCCTGCTCGACTGGATCACCGCTTTTAAATAATAAGTATTTTAATATTTGTATTTTAATGTAATGTAATGTAAGTTAAAATCGCCTGTTAAATTTGTCTGCGCTGAGCAGGATGAACCAATCACAGTCACTTGTGATGACTGGATGTTTTCTGTTTAATTATGTAGCAGATTTTAATATATATCTCGTGTATGAATCATTGGATTTAATATATGGAAATAATGGCACTATCTTGCATTACCGCCATTTTCTGGATTATTCTCCTGCGATGTTATTCCAGTCAGTGAACATTTAACTGAACTGCCTATTGGAGAAATAGAGGAGACATAAATAGAATTATATTTCATCCAGCTGTAACCTCACACTCTTTAGGCATATCGGCAAAAACAACTTCACTTGTGCCAAACGAAAAAAAGGTAAATAATGACAACAATGAATGGCAGAATGACACAAACACAAATTTCCGTTATGTTTTATTCAGTTTTTAGTCAATACAACGGTGATGTTGACAACTGTAACTATGGCAACGTCCGCTCCGAGACCGCAATGCATTTTTGTACTTTATTGCTGCTCATCGAGTTCTAACATTAAGATCTGAATACTTAATCATGTGACATTTCAGATGGAAAAATGCAATAAATCATCAACACAGTCATAAGGAATCAATCAATCATGCCTCGTCATTGTTTGCATAATCACCTCAGTAAAATTCCCACATGGCAATACTCACATTTCTATTCTTGATAACCTACATTCAAACAATTTAAATGAAATTAATTTTTGTAATTTATTAATTTAGTAATTTATTAAACATAATTTATGGAACAGGCCCCTGAACACCGTGACAGTAAGAGTACAATTATTATAGTGCACTTCTGTTTTTATGCTGCAGAGTACACATATAAAAAAACCCTGTCATTAAAAGCCTTCTTAAGACTCACATCCAGATCACCCTGCATCAGTTAATGGTGTTGCATCCTACTAAAAGTAGCCATATTCTATTAGGCCATATTTACAATTTCAAGCTTCCATTTCAGTTAGCCAGTGTCAAGAGTTACATCCAGAAGTGGTCCTCATCTGTTTTATAATATATGGAGCATATTTGCCGTGTCAGATGTGGGACAAGTTGGCTTACACACTGATTAGCCAATGCTGACTGTGCCGTATATTTGCCCAAAGTGGCCCAAAATATTATTCATTATTTGAGCAATATTTGTCATATTATATGTGAAGCACTTTAGGCTCACAGCCACATTAGCCAGTGCTCACTGTGCCACATCTTTGCCAAAACTGGCCCAGATACATTTTAATGTACATTGAAACATATGTGGACCACATTTGGTTTACACCCTGATTAGCCTTTGTTGATTGTGCCACATTTGTGCCAAAGGTTGCCCACATTTGGTTGGCACCACATGGGCCACTTTAGGGTCACATTCAGACTACACATTGCTGTGAACACCGCATCTTTACCTACAGAGGCCCACATGTGATTTGATACATTTGGGCCATTTTTGCTATTTTATATATGGGCCACTTCAGGCTTACATCCATTTTGTCCGGGCCATAAGAAGGCCAGCAGTGCCGTATCATTGCCTTAAGTGGCTCAATTCTTTCTCTGGTAGTCCATTATCTGTGCCTTCTGAAAATCTGTCCATCCTGGAGGCTGAGGAGACATTTCTGTGAGGACCTGTCATTTACATAAAGTACTGTAAGGATACTCTGCACTGGCTCCCTATTAAACATCGTATAGATTTTAAAATCTTGCTTATTACTTATAAAGCCCTGAATGGTT